AAAAAAAAAAAAAAAAAAAAGAAACCTGCATGGTATACTACTACATGTGTTTGGGGGAGGGGAGGACTATGCAGAGATGCTGATCTATGCATTATCTCTTGACTGACACCCAAGAGACTGTGACAGTAGACGCCCCTGGGGGAGAGACTTGAGGCCTGGGGGACTCAGGCAGGAGGGAAGCTTACTTTTCACTAAAAACTGTTAGGATTTTTTAAAAATCACATTCTCTGTACTGGGTTAGATAGTATCCCCTCAAAATTCATGCCCAACCAAAACCTCAGAATGTACCTTATTTGGAAATAGGGTCTTTGTAGATGCAATTAAGATGAGGTCACACTGGGTGGGCCCTACACCCAATGACTGGTGTCCTTATCAGAAGAAGGAGATCTGGACACAGAACACTATGTGACTAAGGAGGCAGACATTAGAGTGATATATCGACAAGCAAAGGAATACCAAGGGCAACACCAGAAGCTGGAAGAGACAGAAGATTCTCCCCTAGATCCTTGGGAGGAAGCACAGCCCCGCCAACACCTTGATTTCTGACTTAGGGCCTCCAGAACTGTGAAAGAATATGTTTGTATTGGCCGGTCATGGTGGCTCACGCCTGTAATCCTAGCACTCTAGGAGGCCGAGGCAGGTGGATCGCTCAAGGTCAAGAGTTGAAGACCAGCCTGAGCAAGAGTGAGACACCGTCTCTACTAAAAGTAGAAAGAAATTAATTGGCCAACTAAACATATATAGAAAAAATTAGCCGGGCATGGTGGCGCATGCCTGTAGTCCCAGCTACTCGGGAGGCTGAGGCAGAAGGATTGCTTGAGCCCAGAAGTTTGAGGTTGCTATGAGCTAGGCTGACGCCATGGCATTCACTCTAGCCCGGACAACACAGTGAGACTCTTTCTCAATTAAAAAAAAATAATAATAAGTTTGTATTGTTTTAAGTGAATACACCAATTTGTGGTATTTTGCTATGGCGGGCCTAGGAAACGAATCTACCCCCCAATAATAAAGAAACCGAATTAACAGTGTAGAAAAAGAAAGGAAAGAGTTTTGGCTGGGTGCAGTGGCTCACGGCTGTAATCCTAGCACTCTGGGAGGCGAACTGTTCGGTCCTATTTCAGCTGTTAGATGGTCCCTGTTCAGGAATCTATTTCTCAGGAAGGTCCGTCCAGAGGAGGCACCTTGAGCTTGTAATTCCTCTAGCTCATAGATTTCGGCCTGCTCTGGGCAGCTCATTCCAGAAGCTGAACTCAGAAGCAACTTGGTTTCTCTGGATGACATCTGGCTCCGCTCTTTCGATCAACCAGGTATCCTCAGGCATGCATGGCCACGGCCTGTCAGGAAGCCACACCCCAGCCCGACAGTGTGTCCCAATGGGTAAGGGAAGAGCCCCAAAGCACCGGGCTGGGCTGGAACGAACATCCAGAGAGGTTTGCCGAGGGATGCTGACATACTTGTTTGTTTTTGAGCTTGTTCATGCAGTCCATGAGGGCTGGATAGCCCTGAGAATCGCCACAGTGACACTGTGGGGTGAGAGGTGCAGGTCAGGGGGCTTCTGGACTGCCCTGTTCATCAAGCTGGAGTATACGATATGTGGCCGGAGTGGAGGTGTGTCCCTAGTTCCCTGTAGGACAAGCACTCTGAGTTCCATTGCCCTCCAGTGGGTGTTGGGGAAGGGGGGACAGGGCTGAGGTGGGGGACTGGCCCAGACATTCTATGTCTAACGGACACTTAGTTGAAGCTCCAGCTCTGCCAGTTGACTCTGACTGATGCTTCTAGGCTCCAATGTTCATCTTAAAATGGAATAATGCTTCCACCAGCCTCTTAAACACATTAAGATCAAGTCTGGTACCCTGGTAACAGCAGCTTGCAAAACGATGACCCAGGCTCTGTGGCAAAAGCTGGGGTGAGCTATGGGCTTCATATGGAATATTCCAAGACAATAAAACTTGAAGAAAGAACCTGCATGGTATATCTAATACAGGTGTTTGGGAGGGAGGACTACGCAGAGATGCTGATCTATCTTATCTCTTGACTGACACCCCAATGAGACCTGTGACCAGTAGACGCCCCTGGGCGAGAGACTTGAGCGGGACTCAGCGCAGGAGGAAGCTTACTTTTCGCCACTAAAACTGTTAGGATTTTAAAAATCACATTTCGTACTGGTTAGATAGTATCCTCAAAATTCATGCCCAACCAAAACCTTCAAAAATGTTACCTTTATGTTGGAAATAGGGTCTTTGTAGATGCAATAAGATGAGGTCACACTGGGTGGGCCCTAACCCAGATGACTGTGTCCTTATCAGAAGTAAGGAGATCTGGACCAGAACACTATGTGACTAAGGAGCAGACAATTAGAGTGAATATCGACCAACCAAAAGGAATACCAAAGCAAACACCAGAAGCTGATAAAGACACAGAAAGATTCCTCTAGACCTTGGAGAAGCCAGCCCCGCCAACACCTTGATTCTGACTTAGGCTCCAGAACTGAAAGAATTATTTTGTATTGGCCATCATGTGGCTCGACGGCCTGTATATCCTAGCACTCGAGGAGAGCGAGGCAGGTGGATCGCTCAAGTCCAAGAGATTGAAGACCAGCCTGAAGCAAGAGTGAGAACACCGTCTACTAAAAGAGAAGAAATTATATTGGCCAACTAACATATATAGAAAAATGCGGGCAAATGGTGCGCATGCCTGTATCAGCTACTCCCCGGGAGGCTGAGGCAGAAGGATTGCTTGAGCCCAGAAGTTTTCGAGTTGCTATGAGACGGCTGACGCCAGTGGCATTCACCTCTAGCCGGACCAACACAGTGAAATCTTTTCAATTAAAAAAATAATAATAATAAGTGTTTGTTTAGGAATACACCAATTGTGTATTTTGCTATGGCGGCTCAGGAAACGAATCTACCCCAATAATAAGAACCGAATTAACATGTAGAAAAGAAAGGAAGAGAGTTTGGCTGGGTCAGTCTCACGCTGTAACCTAGCAACTCTGGAGGCTGAGGCAGGTATTGCTCGAGTTAGGAGTTCGAAACCGCCTGAGCGAGACCCGTCTCTACTACCAAAATTAGAAAATAATTGACCAACTAAAATATATATAGCAAAAATTGCCTGGCATGTGCCGCAATGCCTTAGTCCACTACTCGGAGGCTGAGGCAAGGACGGATCACTTGACCAAGGATTGAGGTTGCTGTCAGATTAGGCTGATCATGGCACTCACTCTAGTCTGGGCAACAAAGTGAGGCCGTCTGAAAAAAAAAAGAAAGGAAAGAGTTTTGCCATCCTGGGAGACAAGCTGCGCCATTTGGGGAAGTTCCCATGGACGGGACAGGTAAAGCGCTAGAGCTGAGGGTGGTTTGGAAGCTCAGACTCTGTTCCTTCCCATCCCCTGCCTGCCCCTTGATTAGTTTTTGACTCCATCTGTGCCCTGATTTTTTTTTCTTTTTTTCTTTTTTTTGAGACAAAGTATCACTTTGTTGCCCAGTCTAGAGTGAGTGCCATGGCATCAGCCTAGCTCACAGCAACCTCAATCTCCTGGACTCAGCGATCCTCCTGCCTCAGCCTCCCAAGTAGCTGGGCCTATAGGCATGCGCCACCATGCCCGACCAATTTTTTCTATATATATTTTTAGTTGGTCAATTATTTTATTTCTATTTTAGGTAGAGACGGGGTTTTGCTCAGGCTGGTTTAGAACTCCTGACCTTGAGCAATCCGCCCGCCTCTGCCTGTGCTAGGATTACAGGTGTGAGCCACCGCGCCTGGCCTGTGCCCTGATTTTCCCATCTGCAAAATGGCCTGAACCTACAGTGTAAAGGTCTCTTTCCCAGGGGAATCAGCAAAAGTACTATATGAATGGAAATCTACCAAAACTAGGATTGCTGACCTGTGGAAAAGGGATTCACCTAATAGTGGAGGACCAGCAGAGAAGAGCTACAAGGATGGCATCATAGGCCAGAAAGAAAGAATTTTCTAACAATTATAGTGGTCCCTATAGAATGGATCAATGGTTCTTACAAGTTTATTAAAATCTAGATTCTAGCCACGTGCAGTGTAATCCTGGGAGGCTGAGGCAAGAGGATTGAGCTCAGGAGTTTGAGACCAGCCTGAGCAAGAGTAAGATGCTAACTCTACAAAAATAGAAAAATTAGCGGAGTGTGATGGTGCACGCCTGTAGTCCCAGCTACTTGGGAGGCTGAGGCAGGAAGATCACTTGAGCCCAGGAGTTCCAGGTTGCAGTGAGCTATGGTAACACCACGGCACTCTAGCCATGGTAACAGAGCGAGACTTTCTCTCAAAAAAAAAAAAGATTCCTGAGCTCTCCTCCTAGGCTATGGCTCAAAGCATCTGCTTCCCTGCTAAATCTACACAGGGGACTAAACAGCAAAATACACAAAATGTAGGGTGTGTTTTAAAAGTCAGGATCCTGTCCCTCAAAGTCCATTTCACAAATAGCAAACACTTCTGAGAACCCAAGGAGTACTGCCGGAGCTGATTAAGTCACACTTATAACAAGAAAACTGCAGTGGCTGAAACTGAAGGTACTCAGTTTGCTTTTCTCTTCTCCCCTTAGCAACATGTCAATGTCTGTTACTAAAACAGAATAAATGATTAAGGAAATCTATCTACTTATCTGTCTGTAGGTCACAGATTTTTTTTCAGAGACACACAATGATCAGAGCTGTCAAAGGATGAGATAGGTTGGCATAGGAGGTAGTAAGCTCCCCATTGCTGGGAGTTTTCAAGGGAAGTTTAGAGAACCATCAGGGCTGTGCTATGTGGACAGTCTAAACTAGCTCTGTCTGAAAGGACTTTCTGCTACAATGAAAATGTTCTATAGCTGTGCTGTCCAAGACAGTGGCCACCAGCCACATGTGTCTCCCAGTGAGCACTTGAAATGCAGCTAGTGTGACTGAAAAACTGAATTTAAATTTTTGAATTTAATGGATCTAAATTTAAATATGTTTAGCGGATTTAAATTTAAATAGCTGCAGGTGGTTAGTGGCTATCATCTCCAACAGCTCAGGTCTCAATGCCAAGGCCCCATTAAGTGGCTGAGATGCTGTAAGTCAACCAAATTCATGTGCAGGTCCTAGCAGCTGGTGCCAACTTTGGTGGGTATGTTGGGGTGGGGTGGGGCATGCTGAGGGTGCTCCTGGGAAGCTTTAAGAAACCAGCTCAGACAAGAGCCTCCGTTTATTCCAGGTATATGCTGCAAGCTGGGGATTCAGTGATGAAGGGAGGCATAGGCCTGCCCCCCCAGAACTCATCACCTGGGGGGGACAGCCAAGTGCACAGGCAGCTACAGGGGTGCGTGATCAGGGCATGAAGAAGCAAGTACTGGGGGCTAGGGAGCCAGAAGAGGTGCCTGATGCAGCCTGCATGGAGGAAATCTGCGGAGCTTTCCAGGAGAGGCTGATGTCTATGCCAAACTAAAAGACTGAATAAATGACAGGTGATCCAGGTAAAGCGGGCAAGGGAGGAGGAATGCTTCGGGTAGAGGAAAGAGCATGCACAGCAGCCTGGAACGAGAGCGCAAAACTGTCGATCTGAGGAACTGAAGTCCCGGTTGGGACAGCACAGTGAGCAAGGAGGATGTGGCGAGAGGAGGCTGGAGGCTGGACGGAAGGACTCACAGGCCTCATGGGCTACCCCAAGGCTATCCCAAGGGGAGCCGGGACAAGTGTTGGAGCAAGGGATTGAAGCTGTGAGCCTTGCATTTAGAAACTCCCAGATGCTGCTGTGGAGAGGGAGTAGAGGGCAGTCAGGTATGGAAAGTGCTGGCAGCCTGGGCTTGGTGGTGGCAGTGGCACTGGGAGGTAGGCACCTCACCTGCCTGGTCCTGCTCCCCGTACCACGTGTTCCAGTTGCCCACGAGCGAGCAGGGGTAGTCCTCATCCAGGTGCAGCTTGGGCAGCACAGCCTCCCTGTGAAAGGGGCAGAGAGAGGGGGTAGGGCTCATACCAGCCACCAGGGTCCCTGAGATAAGGGTCCCAACTCAGGCCCCCAGGGCTGGGCCTCAGTCTCCCCATCTCTAAGATGCAGAGGCGGGATAAGATGACCTGGATTTGTGCAAGGAGAATGGGGCAGTGTATGTTCTTTTTTTTTTTGAGACAGAGTCTCACTTTGTTGCCCAGGCTAGAGTGCCATGGCATTAGCCTAGCTCACAGCAACCTCAAACTCCTGGGCTCAAGTGATCCTTCTGCCTCAGTCTCCCGAGTAGCTGGAACTACAGGCATGTGCCACCATGCCTGGCTAATTTTATATATATGTGTGTGCATATATATATATATATATATATGTTTTTAGTTGGCCAATTAATTTCTTTCTATTTTGTAGTAGAGACGGGTTTCGCTCTTGCTCAGGCTGGTTTCAAACTCCTGACTGTGAGCGATCCGCCTCTGCCTCGGCCTCCCAGAGTGCTAGGATTACAGGTGTGAGCCACTGCGCCTGGCCAGGGCAATGTGTGTTCTGAGGTTCTGCTGGGATGGAGTTACCCCCGAGAGAGGGGCTGGAATGGGAGGACGGAGAAGGATGCTCACGTCAGGCTGTTGTAGGTGTCCAGGCACTCAGGCTTCACGTTGTGAACTGCAACAGAAGACAGAGAGCAGGAAGTGAAGCAGAGTATTGCAGGGCAGGGGGCTGGGGGGAGGGCATTAAGGCCAGGACTCCCGGGACAGCTCTGGATGTTCCAGACCCTCTCATCTCCAGGATGGGGCCTCATAGGCCCCCAGAGGCCCTGAGAGGGTAGGGTTGGCCAGCACAGCAGCCACTCACACTGGATCTTGTAGAGGTTGCTGGTCTCCTTCTTAGATAGCAGCGTGGAGTGGGCATCTTTCCGGGGATCCACCTTGTGGACAAACAGGGAGCGGAACCAGCTGCTTTCATTGTCCTTGGAATAGAAACTGCAAGACAGAAGAGTTCAGAGGGACATACAGAGGCCAGGGGAGCCTCGACAATTCCATCTGCTCAGATAGATGTCCTGCTCCCCCAGACTGGTGACCCACATTTCTGGGAATGTGTCCACGGAATCCCATTGCAGCTCCAGAGTGTGAAATGCTGTCGGAGCCACCGGAGCAGACTTGGGCCTTTCTACAGAGATTCCAGCTACCCAGTTGGCTTCTAGAAGTTTTGCAGGGCCTTGGGAAGTCAGGAGAGGCAGCAACCCCACCTTTACCCCCTTCCAAAGTGCCCTCCTCTTGGGTCACACAACTGCAGCCTCCTGCCAAGAGGATCAACCCCACCGTGCCTGATGCCCAAAGCTCTTAGCAACCAGACCTATCTGATCAGCCTCCCCTCACATATATGCTCCACTCTCCAGGTGTGCTCTGCCCTGAACACATCAGGCTTTTACTCTGTGCTTTCTTTGCAAATTCTGTCCCCTTTGACAAGAAGGCTGCTCCCACCATCCCCCCCAGTGCTCACACTGCACTTGGCCTGTGTCACCTCCCAGACCACCCCACAAACGGACAGCCAAAGACAAATAAGCCTTGTCTCTAAGGAGGTCACATTCCACTGGAAGAAACGGGCCTAGAACTCAATTACAGCCAGGGGTCTCTGGAAGAGCCCAGGTGAACAAGCCTTAACTCTGCCTGTGGCAGCCTGGGCAAATTCTCCAGAGAAAGAGGTGAGCCAGCCAGTCCCCAAGGCCGATTTGGCAGACAGAAGGGGTAAAAGGCATTGCAAGGCAAGATGCATCCATTCATCCAGCCAACACCTGCCCTGCCCTCCTCCACGGGGTGTTGTGAGAATGCATGAATCAATGAATCAATCAATGAATGTGATTGTGTGCTTTGCCCAGGAGACTGTGGTTCAGAGATCAGAACTGCACCTCCTCCCCCTGCACACTGACACAAGGTCCCAGCAGGGGTGGGGCTTATTTTGAGGTTCCCAGAGGCTACTGATCTTCTTGCCCCATAGCCTTTGTTCTGGATGATTTAGATGTTCTTAAAAGCAGACGATCTTTAGAGATTCTTTCTTCTGCCATAATGTTAACATTATATATTAAGCTATTCTTCAGAGATAAGAAAAGTTATGATAATTAGCTAAAATATGATTTTATTGCTCAATAATACTCATGTTCTCTCCAGTCCTGAAATATCTACTTTCTTGATCATGTCTGTTTCTGAATTCTGTTAAGGAGAATTATAATTCTCACTGCTGAATTCCCTGTTGGTACTCTGGTTTTAGGCACTGACATATACCAGAGCATTATATCTAATATTGTAAAAAATTTTTTTGGAAGAGTGATTTAGACTGGGAAGACAAGTGAGCACAAAAAGTTGTAGATTTTTCTAATTGAAAAAGTAGTATAGGTGGCTCACGCCTGTGATCCTAGCACTTTGGGAGGCCGAGGCGGGCAGACTGCTCAAGGTCAGGAGTTCAAAACCACCCTGAGCAAGAGCAAGACCCCATCTCTACTATAAATAAAAATAAATTAATTGGCCAACTAATATATATATAGAAAAAATCAGCCGGGCATGGTGGCGCATGCCTATAGTCCCAGCTACTTGGGAGGCTGAGGCGGCAGGATTGCTTGAGCCCAGGAGTTTGAGGTTGCTGTGAGCTAGGCTGATGCCACAGCACTCATTCTAGCCTGGGCACAAAGCGATACTCTGTCTCAAAACAAACAAACAAAAAGGTAGTATATATTGATTCCATGACACTTAGAAAAGATGAAAAAGTATAAATAAAGAAACTCTTACCTCCAAGAGTTATGTCTCACTTCTAAGATGCTAGACGTCTATTAGGACATCTAATAGGCCTTGTAGGAAGGCCTGAAAAGCAAGTCTCCCACTGAAGAGATGATTCCTAGCCAGGGAGCCTGGCAGAGGAGTCCCTGAGTGTCAGGAAGCCTTCTCCCTTTTCAAGCCTTTTCTGTGGCTAGAGCATATATCTTGCAAATAAAAACATTACTTTTTTCCCAAAATATGGAACAGCCATAGGGACTGATGAAACTGAATCATCATCTTAAAGTGGTGATCCATTTGTAGGAGCATAGACAAAGATGTGAGATGTGTCCCAAATTGTTAATACTGCTAACTTGGGAAATAGGAGAGGGAAATGATTAGATTTTTCTTTATTCATTATAATTTCTGGTAAAGCAAAAAAAAAAAAAATTGTTTTAAGCATTTCTGAATTCATGGGCTCTTTCAGTCATTGTGCATGTGCTTGCTTCATTGCAGGAAGATGATTATCATTAGATGGGTAGTGGGGTCTGTGAAATTTTTCAACCAGAATACAGGAGCCTCTGAGCCAGGAGTCTGGGATGAACTTTCCAGATGCATGATCTCACTGACTCTATGCAATGATCTTACAATGTTGGTACTACTAGTGTCCCCATTCTCAAGAGGATAAAATAAAAAGGAGCTCAGGGAGTTCAAGCAATTTGCCCAAGGTCACACAGCACATCAGGGGACAGAGCTGAGTCAAGAACCAACCCAGAGCTCTTTCCTCTAAAGCCTGCCCCCATCTCGGGTCTGGCCCCAAAGGACCTGACCTTTGGTTTTGAATGTAGAGGGGCTGCTTCTCCTGGAGGGGGTGGTGGCAGAGAGGAGAGTGGCTTCTACTGTTTGTCAACCAAGACCTTTGCTCCAGTACCAGGCTTCCAGTAATCTATTAACATCAGTACTGACCAAGATAAACAGCCAAGTGGCCAGCCCTGAAGACAGAGCCCGGGCACGGGAATCCAGTGGGGGACAAGGGGAGTCCAGTCTTCCCACCACTCTCTAATCCCTCCTGCCTATGGGCCTCAGTTTCCCCATCTGTCAAATGAGCAGGGCGGAGCAGCCCATCTCTAAAGATCTTTTCTACAGGTAAAAGCCAAAAAAGGGACGTGTCACAGATCCCAGTGCTGGGCCTTGAGGATAAAACAGAAAGCAGCTCAGGTCACACAGCATATCAGGGGACAGAGCTGAAGTTAAGAACCAACCTAGAGTTCTTTCCTCTAAAGCCAACCCCGGCTGGGTGTGGAGGCTCACGCCTGTGATCCTAGCACTCTGGGAGGCTCAGACGGGCAGATTGCTTGAGGTCAGGAGTTCGAAATCAGCTTGAGCAAGAGCAAGACCCTGTCTTTACTATAAATAGGAAGAAATTAATTGGCCAATTAATATATATATATATATATAGAAAAAATTAGCCAGGCATGGGGGCACATGCCTGTAGTCCCAGCTACTCGGGAGGCTGAGGCAGGAGGATCACTTGAACCCAGGAGTTTGACGTTGCTGTGAGCTAGGCTGATGCCACGGCACTCACACTAGCCTGGGCAACAAAGTGAGACTCTGTCTCAAAAAATAAAAATAAAAAATAAAACACTAGGCCGGGCGCAGTGGCTCATGCCTGTAATCCTAGCTCTCTGGAAGGCCAAGGCGGGTGGATTGCTCATGGTCAGGAGTTCGAAACCAGCCTGAGCAAGAGCAAGACCCTGTCTCTACTATAAACAGAAAGAAATTAATTGGCCAAATAATACATATATAGAAAAAATTAGCCGGACATGGTGGCGCATGCCTGTAGTCCCAGCTACTCGGGAGGCTGAGGCAGAAGGATCGCTTGAGCCCAGGAGATTGAGGTTGCTGTGAGCTAGGCTGCCGCCACGGCACTCACTCTAGCCTGGGCAACAGCGTGAGACTCTGTGTCAAAAAAAATAAAAATAAAAATAAATGAATAAATAAAACACTATGCCATTTTTCCCCTTATTATGTGATTTGTTTATTGTCTGTCTCCCCACTCACTAGAAGCAGCCCATGAGCAGGGACCATGTGTCTAAGCCGCACGTCCAGTGCCTGCAACAGTGCAGGGCACGTGCCACATGCTCAATGAATGAAGGTGCGACAGGTTGGGGGCCCAAGACACAGTCGCATGAGAATGATGAAAACTGCAAGGGAAGAAAGGGCATACTGTGGCCCAGAGTGTACACTCAGGGCTCAGGGGCCCTTTCCATCCCCAACAGCAACAGCAAAACTTGTGCTTAAGAGCACGGGCTCTGGACAACTCCGGGTTCTAATGCCAGCTCTGCTTCATCTTTCTGAACCTCATTCTCCTCATTTGTAAAATAGGGGCCACAGGCTGGGCCTTTCAGAGAAAGGGCCTGACAATATCACTACAGTATTCTCACTTACCTTCCTAACTCATCTGCCTACTCCCACTTTTCTTAATCTGCTCTTAATCTTTGGAAAGCAACATTTTTGCGATGCCATTCCTCTGCTCAAAAGCATTCTATGGCTTCCTCCTGCTTACAAAAAAAAGACCAAACAGCTCCACTTGGGATTCTAGCTCTAATATACTTTGCTGGGCTTTCCAGAGTCAACTCCCTTTTAAATTTGGCAACCACAGGGCCAGGAAGAATTCCCTACTGAGATGATTCTCAGGTTAATGGTATTTGCATCACCTGGAAACTTATGAGAAATTCTCAGGCCCCACCCAACAGAATGTGTGGAGGCGAATCTAGCAACCTCAGTTTTAACAAGGCCAGCAAGAGATCCTGAGGTTTGAGAATCCCTGCTCTAGAGCAGTCCCAATTTCATCTTTTGTCATATAATCTCAGTAAATCATCCCCCAAATGCTAAAGATCCTGGTATCTATTAGACACAGAAAAACACAATACAGCCTCATCCAATATGTGGGGTCTGCCTCAGCTGGACCCATCCAGCCCCTTCCCACAAAAGCACCTCAACTCTACCCTCATTTTCAAATGGATACCTCTCATTTCCCCAGCCATATCGGAAGCTACTAGCTAATGTCCCACCATCCCCAGCGTACCTAGCACAGTGCTTTTGGATGTGAGTTGCTCAGTAAATAATTGTCCCAGATGAGAACTTCTCAATCTCTCTTTTAGGAAAAGTTACCGTAGGTGACACATTTGCACTGCCAATAGGGATCAACAGTCTGATGCCTCCTCACACAAAAC